TGTTTGTACAAGTCCCAACAGGATGTCATTCAGTGTTTAATATGACTCAAACACACACACTGACCTGAAGACAGCGTTGCTGCTCTACCGAAAAATTGCACCAGATCTTGAATAAAGTGGTGTTTCTCATCCACAGACATGGACTCCACATTACTTTGTCCTCACCACCAACAAGATCTACTACTCAGAGGAGACGTCTCACTACCAGACCACTGACGAGGAGGAAGATGATGAAGGGAAGGAGGTAAGGAGATGACAGAAAGGCTGCAGATGTTGGTTGATAGAGTTCGTGAAGTATGGAAGTGGTAAAAGTACAACATGTTGTTACCAGAGGCTGGTAAAATTCAAGCGCATCTGGAAGTGAGTGTCAATTTAAAGAGGCTGATTCTGGACACCTAAGAGATGAAAAAGAAGTGGAAAATATGTATATATATCAGATTTTTCTTCACTTTCTTACCTCTTTTCCCATTCTTTAGGAATGCAACAACAATGAGCAGCACTGTGCCGAGCGCTGGTTTCATGGGAAGCTGGGTGGAGGTCGAGATGGTCGACAGGTGGCGGAGAAGCTGCTGCAGGAGTACTGTGAGGGCGGAGCAAAGGATGGCACCTTCTTGGTCAGAGACAGTGAGACGTTTGTGGGAGACTACACTCTGTCCTTCTGGTCAGTGGCAGTGATCACTTTTCAGAGCAGTGGAATTTCTTTTACCATTTCATGTAAAACCACTTTCGTCTTTTGGCCACCAGGCGGTCTGGTCGAGTCCAGCACTGCAGGATCCACTCACGTCAGGAGTCTGGCTCCACACGTTTCTACCTGACAGACAACCTGGTGTTTGACAGTCTCTACCGCCTCATCTGTCACTACAGAGACACACCGCTGCGATGTAACGAGTTCGAGATGAGACTCGGCAGCCCGGTGCCACAACCAAACGCACACGAGAGCAGAGAGTGAGTGATTTATCTGGAATTATTAATATAGAAAAATAAACGTTTAGAGAGCTGTCATTCAAAACTTCAATGAAGTCGTATTTTTAAGCCATGGGTGCGTGGGTGAAAGGAATACTTTTTCCCAACTGTAGGTGAATTGGCGGTTGAATTATTGGATAGACAGTGCACATAATGTTCCCCATGTGTAAAAATATTATATATATATATATAATCAGATTACATTTTGAGAGTCCTAACTATAATAATGTCTTCTTTAGGTGGTACCACTCCAGTTTGTCCCGTGTTCAGGCCGAACACATGCTGATGCGTGTTCCCAGAGACGGTGCGTTCCTGGTGCGGAAGAGGAGTGAACAAAACTCTTATGCCATCTCCTTTAGGTAGAATAAACCCTTTTTTTTAATAACATACACATCGATAGACTTTAATTGTTAAAAGATGAAATGTAATCCCGTTAATTGTTTCTCACCGTTTCTGTGTTTGTGCACCCAGGGCGGAAGGTAAGATCAAACACTGTCG